TCCCTACAGTTCCATGTGAGCTCAAACATTTCTATTACTGCTGGCCATTCAACAGGAAAAAAATGGCCAGGGTATGCCCTTTTGTGCTCACTTATGCCTATACTCTAACACACCGGTACCGTCTTTAACAATGTTCAACTGAGGCTCCCCCCACGCCACTCTCTGCGTAGGGAAACAACTTTCTGATGTAACGTGGGTTATTCCTGAAACAGGTCGCCTTCTTAAGATTATCTATTAAGGAAAGTTTACACTTGGAACTACTGACAAGCCCAGAAGCAGGGAAAATGCCCTCCAAATGCAAATATCACAAACATAACATGGCAGGCAGGTATCAAACCAGTCTCAGGTTCTGTTGTACAAGCTTTGCTCTCTGGGATCAGCACAGACACAGAGGAAAAGCTGAAACGATCCCACACAATACACCCACATGCATTGCCCGCGGGGTCCCACTTTCCACGGCTAACTTGTGTTGACTGAGGCAAGCGCTGTAGGTTTGTGGCAAACTGGGCATTCCTCCAGGACTGACGTGGACAGTCAGATGGGGTGAAATGCCACATATGACATTACAGAGGGCAATGCTCCATCGCAAGCATTCTCTTTTCTTGACTCAAACGTTCAAAGCCATGCTTTTAGCTTGCATAGCTGAGATGCATGCACATGGCAATTAAACTATGCTGATACGAGGCACAGCTTTTCCAGAGCTCCAGGGCCCACGCTTGGAACAATGTCTACACAAAGCACCGCTACTCCTTTACCCCCCTGGGATCTCACAACGTAGAAAAGGTTTTGGAGAAGCGATCAGTCCTGTGATTTGTTGTCAGGCTGTCTCAAAGCCTAGTGTCAGACAGTACAGTCTTTACTAATTAAAAAAACCCAGTTCTCTCCCAGAAGGCAGTAAGTCACATGTGCAACACCATGGGCCAATACTGGCTTGGGAGATAGAGAACGATGCCGGGGCGAGAGGATAGGGGAAAATAGTGGGTTCTATGCACAGAACACTTTGGCTCTTGGAGATCCTGAGCTCCTTACCTGTGCATCAATAATTTTCTGCTTCGCATCGATGACAGCTTGCATCTCTGCATGATCCTTCTTCAGCTCCTCTTCAACTGCCATGAGTCTGATGAGCAAAAAGAGGTACAAATTAGGACAGTTTAATACTATTCCAAAGTGTTTCATGTACTCCGGCCTGTTGGTTTGACTTCTCTGATTGTCCTGGCTCTGCAAGAGAAGAGGTCTGCTGCACTCGGAAAAGCTTATCTATCCACCTGACACTCCCAATTGCCTAACCTTGTTATTTTCAAAATGGACATTGCCAAAAACGCAACTGCTCTGAAAAACTACTGCCTTGAGTACAGATTCCAAACAAAGCAAAAAGACCCGTTATAAGTACAACGGAGACCAGGGTTAAAAAATTCCTAAATCTTTTCCTTTACTCTCCTGGCAATCTGAGGCAAGTTTCCACACCTGCATCCCCATTTCTTCATCTCTAAGGCAGGACGGTAAAAGTCCAGAGATGGCAAGAAGCCCATGCAACCACCTTCTCTAGTGTCAAAGAGAACACATGACACAGGGGAGCTGCTTGTCCTGCACAGTCCCAAACTTTCCAAAGTCTCACCTGCTGATGATACTTTTCATCTGGCTGTCCTTCTCCTCCTGTTGCCTGCGCAGTCTCTCCTCACTGTCTTCCAGTCTAGACTTGTACTCCATCAGCAGCTTCTGCATTTGCTGCTCTTGCACCAGGAGCCGCCGCTCATACTCTTCCAGCCGGCGACTTGACACCTTCAGGCGCTCCTTCAGCTTCGCTATCTCTTGTTCATACTGCAGGTGGAAGGAAAGAAGGAAAGAATCAGATGCAAAAGAAAAAGGGAGATATCAGATCATTATAATCTGCTGCTGCTGTTCAGAGAAGGACGTTGTCTTTTTCATGAAAAATAAATTGACAGAAGTAAAGGAAACGACAAGCAAACAACTGTGGGCAACCACAGACAAGGAGCACGTAGGCCCCTATTGAGCATTAAGCTGTTCCCGCACTGTAGGATGCCATTCTGTAGCACAGTTTAAGCAGTCAGAGGGCTCTGACATGGCTTCTCAGCCCCAACCGGTAACATCCCCAGTTACTCCAGACTCAAGCAGTTCCCAGACAGAAGCTCCTAAGAGTGGTCAACTGTAAAAATGTCCTGGGGTGACCAAACTTACAAACCGGAACAGTATGGGACCCAAATAACTCATTCTTCAGGACCTAATCAAGGCATGAAACCACATGTGAAGACAGAGCAAATCATTCACTACAGAACACAGCCTGTAAGTTTACTTGGCTGAGTTTTTTTTCCTTCTACTTACTGTCTCTGTGGACAATCACTTCTGCAATAGTGCAATGAATCTCGACATATTCCACTTTGTTTTGGGTTCATTCACCTTTCCTAATAATCCTGTGTTCCTGCTTCTTGTCCACCCAATGTTCTCCTCCTCGCTTCCTGCCTTCTCAAAATACCAAACCTCTTACTAAACTTCATCACCATAGCAGCATATAGATGTAACTGTATTTGGAAAAATGGTATCTACTCCTGAAAATAAATGCGCTTTAAAAAAAAGATCATGGACGTTTCTGTGTAGCCCAGAAACCCTGTACTACCTAGATGACAGGCATTTTCCTCAGGTGAAGCCCAAGACAAAATTTGAATGCACCTACTGATGAAGATTGAATTGCATTTACAGAGCCTTGTACAATCACTTAGCATATCCTAGGCTATACTCAGTCAGGTTAACAATTGTGATTTTTTTTTTTTAATGGAGTTTAATGATCACTAAAAAGTTTGGCAAGCATAGAAAAATGGCAGTATGCTGTAGCAATAGTGTTGTCATAAAAAATAATGACTTGAGCAGGATCTAATACACTTAGGCAGTGTGACTCACCATGCACGTAAGTGCCAAATACCAGCCTGTAACGTACGAACTCTCAGCTATGTCAGTTTGCACCCGTTTGACATGCTACAGCCTGTGTGTGGGTTAATCTATAGTAGCGGATACTCTACTACAGATATGTGTGACAGCATGTACAGCAGGAAGTTACGCCAATACGACCTGTGTTTGAAAGCACGACTGTCACAGCAGCGCCTGAAAGCCGTTCTGAACTCGGCTGTGGGGTAGACAGGACTCACTGGCAGCCCTCGAGTCAGCTGCATACAGAATAAAATCTACCTTCTCAGCATGCTTGATTTCATCTGGATTCTGCTCTGCGTCCTCCTCTACTTCTTCATACTGTCCATTATTGAGAACCCAGGCAGCTGTCCTTTCCACTGGTGACATTGTGGCAGAGTCCACAGGTGACTGAACCTGGAGCAGAGAGACCTGTAAGCATTTTTCAGAGAAACTACACACAAATCAGCTCTAAAATCCAGTTTATTTGGAGGTGAAAAATGACCGTGAATCTGTCAGTCTCAAAGGATCCCCAAAACCTCTCTTGCAGAGATACTTCATCCTCCCTTGACTTTGGACCCACAGCACTTACTTGAGTCCCTCCAAAACCAATGTACTTGAGCAACTTTTCTTCCTCGCTAAGTGACCTTCTCTCTGGAAAAGTTCTTGTTTCAAATCCTGTTCACATCCACCCTTCCCCTTTGCCAGCTTTTCAGCAAGGCTTTCTCAGCCTGTGATTTCTCTCACAAAGAAAACAGAGTGACGAAGCTTTGCTTGCAGCCTGTCCAGGTAAGACAGATGGGTTTCTTTGGAGTACTGAGGAGCTTAACTTGGGAGCAGCTACCTCAGCCAGGCTGCAGACAAACTTTGCAATGGAGGATGGGGCTGCATGGCTTGGATACGAGACAGCATGGCAGTCCTTAAAAACGGCAGAGGTGTAACGCGATCACTGTAGTGCCTATCAGATTTAGATGGTCTGTTGTAGCATATACACCCAGGCAAGGCTGTGAGAGGAAGTCAGGGCCAGCAGTGCTTACTAGAACTGTAAAACATCATCCGAGGCTATCCTCTTTGTGGGAATCCAAAAAGCAAGCCAAGAAAAGAAACAAGAAACTCTCCACCCGGCTGGGGAAAATATGGCTTGCTACAAATTCCAAGCAATTTTCATGGACAAAGCCAAGTTTATAAGCACAGGAATTAGCATAATTACCCCTGAAAGAGCAACACTGTCTTAACTTCTTGAGAAATGCGGAAGATCAACTTTGCTGCCACCCACCCCAGCTGTAGCTTCTTTTTGTGCTCAAGCAGCTCTTCAGCTCGCTGCCTCGTTTCAGTGAAACGAAGCTTCATGGCAGGGGGATTTTGAAGTCTCCGTTTCAGCGAGGCGCTCTTTATGGGGGAGTAACAACTTCTTTTACATGAGTCAGGTAAGGGATCACGTCACCCTCCGTCTCTGTTTCTCTCGTTCACGAGGACGGAGCTGGCAAGCGCTGCGTACGTCCTATGCTGGGCCTGGCCAGAGGATCTGCCTGCAACGGCTCAGCTGTCCTGAGCAGCAATGAAGACGCCAGCACTGGAAGAAGCCTCAGCAAGGATGGGTATAAAGGCAAAGGAAAGGAGTAGGAATTAGGCAAAAATCCCTGCATTTAGGCAGAGGCCGTTTTGCTAGAAGGAAGTCTTCACAGCAGAAAGGCTAATAGCCCCTTTCAAGTGCAGTGTGACAGCCTGGCAAAGTTCCTTAGTTCGATATTTTGACGGTATTTGCTGTGAGGCCGCCATGGCAAGGGAGATTATGAACTGTGTGCGGCTCTGCCACCAGCAGGCTCTTCTCGGAGGTAAATACTTTGGCTCTAGGAACTGCTGGAGGAATTAGGAACAGCTGTGGATGAACAGTGTCACCGTTCATTGGAGTTATGGAGGACCACAATAGCAGAAGGATGACTATAAACTATATCACCAGCCTTGTAACAGACTGCTGATCAGCAGCAGACCTTGCCAAACAACCTTGCAAGCTATAGGACAGAATATTTTCAGCAGCCAAACGCAGAAAGCCTACAAAGACCAAGTGGATGGCAAGCACTTCACATGCTAATGGGTTATGAGTTACACACTAATAAAGGGGAAAAAAGAAAAAGCCTGCTAGTAATGTGTATTAATTCCCCTCTTTGCCTCTCTTCCAGAGGAACACACTGACATTTCTGTTCCCACCTACCTACTAAATGGAAATGAAAGGCAAAAAGTGACCTCTCCCAGCAAACAAAGGGCCTAGCTCTATATTCAGAAACAAATGGGACTTGTAGAGAACAGAGTCTAATAATTATAACGCCCACAAAGCATGCCTAGAAAGAACATGCCCAGAAAGAACATGCCCAACTTCTCTTTTCTCTTTTTCTTTTTTAAATAAGAACAAAATTCCACAACACGATTTGCAATTAAAAGGACGCAATGGAATTTGCCTCAAAAAAATTTTGGCCACTCGATTTGGCACACTTCAAGACGTTTCTCAAGGATGTGGGGAAGGAGAGAACAAACTGATTTCTCTGAATAAAGTACGAGCAAGTACTCTAATGAATCCAGTGAAAACAATTAATATGGAAAGTAGAGTGAAAAAATAAGTAGATGCACATCTCCTACAAGAGGGGGGAACGAGACTGCCCTGAAGCCAGTCATAGTTGCAGGCATCTATGAAGCTAAATGTAAAAAGTAACTGGAGAAGAGGGAAGTCTGAGATGTCATTTTGATGCGAAACAAGCAAAGGTAACCGATTTACTTGTGGACAGTTAGGTAATCGGTAACTTAAGATAAGAGCAGCCAGGGGTTTGCAAGCAGCTAACTGAGTATTTCTTGTAAATACACACAGGGCAGAAGCCACCCGTGTAAGGTGCACGCATAAAGACTGGAGACGAAACACCTGTACTTTCTCCTCCTTATCCTAACTCCTTCAAAGTAAAGCCTTCTTTGCATATTTGTGTAGGCACTTCCCGTAACAAGCCCTGAGGAAAGGCACCAGCTCCCCAGGGATTTTGGCTAGGACGCTGCACAGAACCATACAATGAAACTCAGCAGATCATACAATACAGGTTCACACTGGACACCTGAGAACTGCAAAGGGAGTTTATCCTTCAAATTTATCCTTGTTACTGGCCTAAAAACTTCCTACCACCTCCGCACTAGGCTTAGCTGTATTCAATATACTTTACCTATCAACCCCTCTATGCCCAAATGTAAAACACACACTCCAAAACATATGCACTTCAAATAATATGCAATTACTTTTTTTGGTATTACTAACTTGGCATAATAGCCTTTGCTTTGTGATTCAGTGTTTCTGATCTCCTTGTACGCTAATGAACTGGAGGTATCAAAGTACTTTTGAAGCCGTGATTGCTCCTGGGTTCCCAGGCATCATCCAGATTTTCCTCCTTTCGACTGTAACATTCAGGAGTTTGCCAAGAAAGCTACACCAGCAGGGATACCAGTAAAACCTACGGCAGAACAGGAGCTCACACTGGCAACTAAATTCTTCTGCCAGCTTTACCTTACAAGCCAAAAGCCTTCCCCCTGCATAACCATGTCTTCACCAGCACTTTAGCCAACAGGGCTCTGTCAGCAAGGAGGACCACAATCTCCTGCTCCTTGCAGATGTAGCTTCACCAGCAGCTTGGTGCAGTCTCAACCTCAGGGGCTGCAACTTTCTGGAGGGGAAGTTCTCACTCGTGCCTGTGTGCAGAACAGCATCCTTTCTAGGAGGTCTTATGGAAAGCAGGAACTTAAAAAATTTCCTTCAATACTAGGTAAAGTAAAGCAAACATGACTATGGTTACCCTCACAGTGACCACAGAAGAAAACACTTAACCTCAAGGAATACCACAGGTGTTGCCTTCAAGAGCCTTACCCTGCCCAGCTGATAAGTCTGTATGCACTAATATGACATTGTGAAAAACCATCACCTTCCTTCTGACCTGCAGATCGAGACATTTTCTACCTTTGCTGTAGTGCCAAGCATTTAAATACTTACTTTCTCTTTTACATTAAACTAATTTAGGAAAAGATTTTCATACACAGCAAATCACAACAGGATTTTTTCTTCTTCTCTCTCTCTTTTTTTTTTTTTTTTTTTTTAAGATAAAGGAATGTTGGCTTTTTGACAGGAAAATCTTGATCTATGGTCCCCTATGAACAACTGATAAAGTGCATTAGGAGTTGGTATGTATAAGCACTCCTTTCCAGAAAGTGTTTGCATTATTCATAGTTTGGGATGATTAATGAAAAAGCAGTATTTATTTGGGGACCAGCAATAGATTGTTGCATTATGGTGAAATATAGATTTCTCCACACTTAGGACAATTGTACTTACTTATTATTTTGGCAGCAGTTTATTCTATGGTATTTTATCTTTGTTTATTTCTCTGTTTTTAGGTAGCTATGCTTTTAAATTAGCACCACAGGGCAAATGCATTCTCAAATGGCAATCAACTACAATTTCCAACAAAGCAGCTTCTGGTTTTTTTTTTTTTATTCAGGGAAATTTTCAAGTTTTGTTTCTTTCAGCAGGCTTGCTGCTACCTTAGTAAATGCAAAACATTTTTTTTTTTTTAATTTAGTACAAACGCATCCAAAAATAATAGGTAAGCTAGGCTTGCCAAGCTTGTAAGGGTAACAAGCACGACTATTCCTTACACTTGCTACTGGCCGCTTGCTTAAGTGCCAGTACTCTTGATTCAACTCAATTCAACTCAAAGGTCAAAAAGCTTTGAAGGTCAATGCACCAATCAGCTAAACATCAAAGCAGAAAGTGTCTGGGAAAAGGCTTTCCTTACCTGCTGCGTTTGTTGCCTCTGAATTGCCCTCACTTTTGGGACAGGGCTCTCTCTAGAAGATGAGGACTGCTGCCGGGACCGGCTTCCATTCTGAATGGGTTCAGTCCCAATGGCCCCCGACACTCCTGACATGCTGCCCGTGCTCCGCAAGGAAGCGCTGTGTGGCAAGGATTGCGGTGCTTTGGCCCTGGCGCCCAGCCCGGCTTGGTCCATTTTGCGGATCTGCGCTTGGCTGCTGCTGTTCTGGCGGGGCAGCGCGATGGGGACGTGCTTGTCTGGGACTGTGTGGCGTCGGGAGAAGTCCTCACTCTGCGTGCTGCGCTTGGTGAAGTCCTCCATGCTGCTATTGCTGGGTCCGCTAAGTTTGAAGTCTTCGCTGTTGCTTCGGCTCTGGGAGCTGGCAGTGCTCAGGTTCTCCAGGCTGGAGTCCACAGAGGCCTTCGGCATTGGTGGGGTTGGGTTGTTGAGATGGTAAACCGGGTTCTGGAATGACAGAGGCTGGAGGCTGCCCTGTTGGTTCAAAGCCGGGTGCAGAGGCCTTCTCACCTGGGGAGCGCTCTGGGGTGTGCTCTGAGTTTCCCACAGCTGTTTGATGTTCGCCACTTGTGTGATAGAGAGCTGGCTGCCGGCCAAGCGCAAAGGCACGTCGTGCATAATAGAAGCATGGTCACTGTGAGCTGTGTGAGGATCCTGGAGGTCCATGAGAGAGATGCTACGTCCATTGGGCAAGATGCTTTCCCTTTCATCTTTATCTGAGTAAGTCATGCTCTGGGTGGATGCCTGC